AAAAGCCGTAAACGAGTACATACGAAAAGCTCCCCGATATCACTTGGCAACGTTGCTAACCGAGGAGAAAAGACGTTTCGCTTTGTGAAAGTTTATGGTACCTCCCCCCCCCCGCCCTCTCTCCTTCGTCGACACCGTCGTCGCCATCTCCGACTTCCCTAGTTTATATATATATATATATATATATATATATATATATATATATATATATATGTTTTTTTTTTCGTACTAGTTCGTCTTGCTTACGGCGTTAGAAAATTTCCAGATAGCAGAAAAACTCGGGGAGAGAGAGGGGGGGGGAGTTTTTCATGAGTTTTCTACGTGTATCGATCAAGACGCAGTTTTTCCTCCTGCACGTAACCTACGACCGCGTATGTTCGTCCACGCCGGTGAAAAAGTGGGCGTGTACTAAACGGCATAGGGGTGGCATGGAGGGGGATGGGGTCGTAAGATCGCGCGCGCGCAACAGATCCGGCAACGTCGCGCTCGTAAATCATGATTAAAATAATAAGTATATAGGCAGTACATAGGGAATTGTACATAGTGGCTGCGCAAAGGACACCAGAGTGGACCCCGGTCTGCCGGGTTCTGCGCAGCTTCGTTTCCCCCCCTCTAGACTTTCTTCCCCCACCATCGACTGAAAATCGCGGTACGTCGACGGTGGTGGGGGTACCTCAAACTGCACTATATAACCATACGTTTACCAATCTTGGCACTCTGCCTGAAAGAGCATATCGACCGTGCGGGGTTGTCACGTCGTTCCCTTCGGATCTCTTGCGCTACCTATGCGCACTCTTTGAACTGTATGTACGCTCCTGCAGGACGGTCGTGCTACACGTTGCGGAAGAGACACGATGCATCGACCCTGTACGTACGACAGACTCGTGGGCCATGTGGATAAGCACGGCGGAGCGCCACGTCCCTACTTTTGCATTTCGCACTCTCCGTGCACGGCCCTTGCGAAGAGCGGGAAGGAGGGACACGTCGATTGACGTTCCATCGACGAATTTTTCGATCGATTGGGCCAACCCCCTGGTGCGTTCGATGATTATTTTTTTCTTTCTTTAATTATTCATCATATTTTTTCTGCAATTAAGCATTTTTATACGCATCTGGGGTGCTACTATTTTAACGTGCTTTTGGCTTGTAATGATTTTTGGGGGAATTGGATTTTTTTTTACTGTTACTTGCACCAGGGCTGCCTAAGATCCTGAGGGTGGATGGCGTTACTGTTTATCTTCTTGTATCTTCTAAATACTAATAGGGTGGTATGGGTGGTTGGTATGCCCTGCGCGTTGCCCTTGCTTTCTTCATCACTCTGTATCTATGTCCCTGGGGTGACTTTACATTTCATTCTGGATCATACGGTAATAAGTCCGATGTAAATTATACGAATCAAAATGACAATTTAACGAAGGATCGTATCACCAGTATAATTATATCGGTGATATCGAATGCGTATGTAGTTTAATGAAATTTGTCGTGATATGGTTAATTGAAAAAATTACAGGATTTAATTACGCAAGAATTTAATTTTGAACGCGCAGGTGACGTTGTGGACTACACGTATGGGTGCTTTAACAGTAACTCGAATGACGTGACAGTCGAATTATTAAAATTCATTGAACTGGTATTGTCAAGGATGCTTAGCGTCTCGTGAAATATTGTAAAACTAATGACATTTCTTATACGTGAAATTTCATAGTTACATTATGGAATTTGAATGTTATTGTTGTAACGTATTTCACATGTACGTCCACATTTGTACTGTAGATATTGTTGTTGCTAAATAAGTGGCTATCATCATCATCATTATCATTGTATAGGAATTTTGTAATTAAACTGTCACTGTCAACAAACAACATCGAATCTTGACACTTGTCAAATTCAAATAATCATGTTACAGTTTTAATGACCTCACGTGGTATTGATAACAATGGAAACTCGTGCTGTTATCATTCAATCTTTACGTTTATACAACGTTAGGTTTTCACATCGACAAATCAAATCGGATATGAAATCAAGGTCGATTTACAGAAGCTCATGTAGGATGAACGTAGAAGAATTGATTTTTCATATTATTAGTACCTGGTATTGTTACAAATAGTATTACCGTAGTAATCTCCTTATTATGAATGCAAGTTGTCAGGATGATGGAAATACAGAAAATTGTATGACCAAGTACGTAAATACCTAACCTGGTTATATTTATCGAAGTTATTCGAACACGTTTTCGTCTAGTATCTGTTTCGGATTCCTTTGGTCATAAAATTTTTTGGTATTTGTGCGTGTAGCTTTTGGTACTGGAAAAAAAATAATTTTTTTTTTTTCGAAATTTTCTAGGCGAACAATTTTTTTTTGAGACGCAATACGGAATACTTATAGTCGTAGAAGTAAAAGGTGAATCGTGTGAGTTGCAGTGTCGCCGGAGTCCTTGAGAAAATTCTATGATGATTCTGCGCCGACGACCTTGGAAACGCAAATGATAGCCTCGCGCAGTGTCCCTTTTCGCGTGTATGACGTCATCGCGAACTATAGCCTTTTCTTTTGTTGCTGCCAGACGGCTGTTCGCCATTGGCTGCGTCGTGCTGAATGGCCGCCATTTTGGTGAAGTGACTCACAGGTTGAGAAAAACTAGGATGGATTAAACCGGCTCCTGCGCACGAGGCTACATACAGGGCTGTCAGTACTGTATCTAAAGGTCTTAATGCCCTGTATAAAGTTAATTGCCATTTACTGTTGTATATACATGACACGTAGGTGTTTTTATAAATTTTAATGGCAACTACCATGTTAAACCGATCGTTGTGAATTATTCGTCCTTCCGACTTTTGATTGGTCATTGTAAAATTTTAATCAGCTCTCGGACAACTACAAGAAATGAATCAGATAAAAACAAAGATTACGCAGTAATCTCCGCGCTTATGGCATTTCTGTGCAATGGCAATTTCTTTCCGGGTTAACGAACCGCGCTTTAAGCCGACGAACTCACAAGTTGTAGCATCGTCCGTAAACTTCGGTCGAGTAGCGTGCTTTTCACAGGGAAATAATTTTTATTTTAATAAAAAGATAACCGTATAATTAAGTAACCATCAGTCCCAGGTCACAGTATAAATCCGGTAAAAAAAAAGTCATAAAGCCTACAGATCCAATATCTTTTAGTAAAAATTAAATACTACCCAAATAAAAGTCTCGTTGCAAAATGTTGCGAATTAAAAAAATTTTTTTAAATCATCACGTCAAAATCACTAGGGTCCACGCAGAGGAAGGTATCGTAGAGAAAAAAAAACTGGGGTAGCTGCGTACACAGTAATGTATAAGAATCACTCCCTCCTACTCCTGCGTGATCTTGGGGATGCGCCCATAAGTTACGGCACTGCGCGCCGGGCATTTCCCTTTGCCTGCTTTCAAATCGACTCGCGAGCATAAAATGTGACGGTCGCCCCACTGGTGTGTGGCGCGCGTGTACTCTCGTGTGCGATCCTGCCGAGTAGTCGACCAGTGTTGTTCGTTTTTTGTTTTGTCAGGTCTCTTTTCACGTACCGTGAGGCCGAAGTGTTAAGGGTTGTTCACTCTCCTCAGTGTTGTCGATGACTGCTGCGAGCAAGTTGTCGCGAAAATGTAAGTGGACGATATCCACGCTCGGACAATCCGGATCCGACGTGGGGTTGCTTTTCGACAACTGGCAACTCCTGGAGGTAGTAGCTCTGGCTAGTAGCGTGGGTACAGACAGTGTCAAAAGAGTGAGCCCAGCCACGGTTGACTGCCTGCGTTCACTCATATGGTGTTTCGTCGTTGAATATCACAGTGTGAAACCTGCGACACGTTTTATGGTGTTGTAGAATACGGCATGGAATACGATATTTAAATTGATACGAATTCGGTGAGAAAATTCTACCAGAATTATGTTCGTTCCCTGTCAAGATGTTTTGCGATTGTTGGTACGTGAACACGTGTCTTGTGGATCCATGGTCATATAAGTGTAAAACCAGTGAAGATTCTTAAATTATCGGATCCTTATCGGATTCTTAAATTAAGGATCCTTGAAAAACTTCGTGAGTGGCTTTGGGTAACCCTTTCCGATATTTGAGGTTACGTTATGGTCACGTGTAGTGAATCTACCTGCACGAGATTCGATGTTTGTGGAAACAATTCTCAGTGTTAACGTTGTTTTTTGATTGACGATCAGACCAGGCGCCATCTCCCTCAATATCGTCGTGTCTGCCGATAGATTATTGATTCGAACAATCTGTCTATTGATAACCTTTTTTTAATTCTCTCATTCGTAATCACTACCAACCTGCACCTACGAGTCGGTGACTCTTGTAAAATTTGCTAGACAATCTAAAACAATAGGAGACAATAAAATCTAGGTTGTTTTGAACTGTCGTTACAAACTATCTTGAGTCAAACAATCTATGTAGTACCATAAAGAGCCCATGATCGTCAATCGAGTAATTTTACAATAAAAATTCCTCTCGTCAGTGAACAACCGACATAACCTATAAACGTAAAAACCATGATCACAAGTATGCTCGAGGATATTCATCAAGTTGCCAAAAGCTCAGAAACGACAGTGTGAACGCAATACTGATGTTTCATGGGAGTTTATACCCAACGAAGATGGCAGCACCGGTCTGGAGAGGATCAGGTCGAATGCAACGAGGAAAATATCGATGCGGACAGGGACACCTAGGGGGTTTAAGCAAAAGTATCTCAGTGACCGGTTCTTCTTGCGTTGTATCGAACAGTTAAACAATAAACAAGAACGAGGAGGAAAATTAGCTAGAAAACAGAGGCAGAACAAAAAAGAAGAGGATTTATAATCTGTGTAAATATCTTGTGATACAGTGCTCGGGGTCCCGTGGTCAACTTCGTACGGTGGTGGACGTGACGAACGAAGGTACCTCTAGCTTTTGGTACAGTCCGCGCGAAAAGGCCTCGGGCTCCTACCGTGTTTCTCCTCGCGGTCGGCTAGACCGCGGAATGCCTAGTGCCCCGTGTAACTGCACCACCCGTGATCTCGATGTTACTGCATGACCTGGACGGCCTGAAATCGGAGACTCACGGCTAGGACTGCGTATAATGGCGTTGTCCTCGGCAGAGAGCACCGTAGTCCTCCAAGCTAAAGCTTCGCCGGGGACCATTGGAGGTACGCCCGTCCAGAGAGCATGTACGTAGCAGAAGTCGTGAGAGAGAGAGAGAGAGAGAGAGAGAGAGAGAGAGAGAGAGAGAGAGAGAGTGAGTGAGAGAGAAGGAGAGTCAGAGGGGCGGGGAGGAAGAGGCTAGATAGACGCTCCAGCCTACATGTTTTTTCTTTTTTTTTTTTTTTTAATTTTGTGGAAATTCTTGTTTTCCTATTTCTTTTTGGGATAATTATTTTTTTTTTAAGATTGTAATAGCTATGGTCGCTTCGCCTTATGAACAACATTCCAAATTGCTGAAGTTTATGTTCTTGTTTTCTCTGACTTCTTGGGCTTTGTCGTGTAACACGGCCTTTTCGACGTATAACCTCTAATCTTCTAACGCGCTTGCGGTGGAGTCGACTATGCGGATTTTCTAACCTACCTTTCCGCGTGGACGAGAAACGTCTTTGATATTCGTTGGGATTTTCTTGTTATTGTGCATGCGTGTTGCGTGTGTTTCGGACCTACGAGGCGTTTCATTTTGTGAAGTGTTTGTCGTCTTACGCGAGTTGTATGGGGTTTTTTTTTTACGTTCGTACGGTTCACTCAATGGAATGAGTTTCGATGAACTTGCTCTTTAATGTTTCACAGGCGACCAATATCTTGAAAATTTACGCGCTTGTTCGCTATCTAGAGTTCGGTTACATTCAAAAGCGCGGTAAAATATAACGTCAAGATCGTCATACGTACAATTGTATTCTGATACGTATTGTGGATATTCTCTTTAAATTCTTTTATTAAAATGGAAAACAATTGTTTTTGATTTTTTAACTGTTTGCAATGATGAAATCTACTCCTGCGGCTTGTTGCACTCTGAAAGCACAAACAAATAACAATCTAAAAGAACATATGTTTGACACTGTTGGTACCGGTATGTTTAAAACCGCGACTCATATGTCTAATTGTAAGTAAAAAAATTATAAAAAAAAAAAAGATATCAATCCCAAGTACACGTAGTCGACAATCGTTCTCCCTTTTAAAATCCTCATAATGTGTAGTTGAATGGCGACTATAATATTGTCCAAGTGTAGAATAACAAGAAATTTAGCCAAGCAACAACTTTGACAATAACGCTAAAAAATATTAACGAATTTTAAATTTTTGTATTACAGGGTCGTTTGATAAAGTTACTGTAAAACAAGAGCGTCCAGATGAAGCGGAAATCAGGGAACTGGCTGCCAAAATGGTGGAAGCGAACAAGGCGAAAATGGCTGGGATGCCGGGTTCACAGCAGAGACCAGGTCTTGGAATACAACCCAACTTACCCGGCATCCTCGGCTACCTCAGCAACACGAAGAGGCCGGCGGATTCGTCGGCAGTAAAGTCACCAAGCATAGATGGCAAGGTACCCTCGGACGACGAGAGTCAACGAGGTCGCTTCGGATGGACCAGCTTTGGCAAATGTCACATACCGTACATATTTCGTGCCAATGAGAAGTACTGCGCTGTACGAATCCTAGAGTGTAAGCTACTGAACAAGTACCTGAACTACCTCCACTCGGATATCTACAGCTGCATGTGCATAAGGAGTTACTACATCACGGAGGCAGAAAGTAAACTCTTCAACGAGATCAACGTGAAGCATTGCGACACTCAGTACGGCAGGGAGCCCTTTACTTGTAAGGACCTGGTGGTGCGACTGGACGACGCCAAGGAGTTCTACATGTTCTTGGACGTCTGTTATACGAAATTAACGGCAGGCACTGCTCAAAACGTATCGCCGGGTCAGAAAGTAGAGAAGTGCGGTTTCATTCGCATAAACAAGGAATCCGTGGTTCCCTATACGGTCAAGAATAATCTCAAGTACGTCCCGTTGTTTTACTTTGAGGGCGAGACCGACAACCTCAAGCTCAAGGCCGAGAAGCTCGAAGGTTGGGATCTCTCTTACTTGAAGTTCTGCTGCAAGGTACAGGGTATACGTAACGAACTCTTTGCAAGTGAAACGTGCTCCGTTATCAGTTTGAGCGACATTAAGAGCTACTTCCCACCGGGTACCGGATTCGAGGATTATTGGCCGAGCAAAGTCATGGACTCGCAGTTGTTGGTGAACAGTAAAGGTGGCGGAAGCGGTGGCGGATGGATTAAGCAACCACCAACGCCACCTTTGACAAAGTCGAATTCGGTGCAAAATAACGCTATTAAGTCTACGTTGAGTGCGCGGGGTGGGACGCTGCAGACCACGTTACCTAGGGTTGCTGGAGCTAATACAACGATACAGAGGGTTGGACAACCAAGGCCCGTTGTCACTACGCATCCGGCACACTCATCACCTACGGCTGTTCCTTCGAATAAGACGAATCCAGTTGCGCAGCCTCTTCTCAATCCTGTGCAAGCTGCTTGTAACGGATGGAACGGACTCGTTGGGGGACAGCCTACCTTTCAGTCAGCACTTGTCTCTCAGCCCAATCAAGTTATACGAATGACCAATGCATCCCTTAACATGCATAATGTGAGTATTAATTCTTATCATACATTGTCCCTGATGTTAAATAATTGTCATCTGAGAATACCGTAATACAGTTGTGTTGTAGAAGAACTTGCAATGATCTTTCCTTTCTTTTCATTTACAGCAATTACCCGCCGCGAACAAGAACTACTTGCAGCAGCCTAGGAATAGAGGGGGTGGTAGCGGAGCAGCGTCACAGTATCCAGGAGTTTACCCGGTGACTACGATGCAAGCCGCTGCTCAGGCCCAACCACCCCCTCTGGTCAGAGCAACCGCCCACTCGAGTCAGCCTAATATTGGGTAAGTTCAGAAAAGATTAAGATAATTTATTTAATCATTCTTTTTAATTATGAGAGCATCCAACAGAACTAGAAGCATTCATTGTGAATTTTTTTTTATCGTAGCATCTGTAAAGGTCAATGCATCATTCCTGGTTTTCAATTATTTTATTCATCAACTCTGGATGATTTATAGATGAGGGCTTTAGAAGTATTGACGACTGTCTAAATCATAGCACTATTCAACGAATCACGTCATTTTTTTAGGCATGTTTATGGTACCTATTGGCATTTCTATGAACGATAGATCCACGAGTAGAACCTCCTGTGGCAGTAGAAAATTTCTTTGCGTCTATCCATCATGACCTTTTCGTTAATGAGGATTGTCATTTCTCCGTTGGAGTCATTAGAAATTTAAAAAAAAAATTCACGTTATATAAAATTGCACCTGTCACAATGTTTTCCTATGTATCAATTTGATTGCCACGGTAAAAAAAATTTTTAATGGCCAGCTCACTAAGCTTTACTCCGTTCTGTGTGAGCTATACTTATGTGGTGTTTATCATTCACTGCCAATCAATATTGATAGTCATCACGTAGTTGTCTACCTGCACCATAGCTTCTCCTCGCCTCTGTAAATACAATGTATAATTTTTTTTGTATAGTTATCCAACCTATGGGAAGGATGACTGGTGAGTCCCGGCATAATGTATTATAGACGTACCCAGAACACAAAACAAGGGCAGAGCATGCGTAAAGTACCCATTTTCAGAAACACCCTGTCGACAGATCTAAGAGGGGGCCCTGAATAATAAAAAGACTGAAACAATTTTTGTAAAGACTGTTCGAGGGAGAGCCTGTTTGATCGAAGACATTTCAACGAATTCTTTGCAAAGAGATTCAAGTATACCGATAAAGTAAAACTTTACCTGACTGTTCTTCGTTACACTTTTTATTTTAATTTATCATCTTCGCTATCCATTCTTTTGCTTTTTCTTTTAAGTACCTTCATGTAACTGTGATACTTGATTGTACGTAGGACATTGGTAAACAAAAAAATAAAGGTTTCCCACATAAGTCTTTGCTTGTTTTCAAATTCTTCTTACACAGCAGGCAACATAAAGAAAAATCATGATACGCACACTGTTCGATGCCTTGAAAAAGCTTTGTACGCAGCTAATTATAATTCACCCTTGCTCAACCTGACAAATGGAAGTAACACACTGGTTCATCCTGATTTATTATTCAAGGATACACGATAACGTTCACTAGGACGTTATTGGATATTCAAACAAGTCCGCAAACGTATTTCCAAGAGTATAGAATTTCCTTATTGTCATTACTCTTATTAATTTATGTTTTCTTTTCATTTTTCAGGGTGTCTACTACGTACACGACGCCTAGTCTGGGCGTACCAAGTGCCGTGAGTGCGAGCACCTATCCTCAAATGTATGGTTTGAGCGTCGAGCAAGTACAAGCCCTGATGCCGCCACCGACGTCAGCCTCAACCTTACTGACACATCCGCCGAGGCACACGCCTCCTGGACATAATTCGTCACATGTAAAATATCCACCGCCACTCATACCCGTGAATGGCAATAGTAATAATTCCAGGTATAATATAAATATATAGAAAATAATTCTATACCAAAAAGAAACCAGTCAATAGTTATTTAATATCGTACCGTGTACCTATAACGGCTAACTTAAAATAAAATCTTCACAACTTATAGGGACACCAGAGTGAGAAAGCCTTTGATACAAATTGCGGATACACCGTCGTCAGGTTGTGTTCTGCCGTATCAGGTCCAAAAGGCGTTGGTCTTGGACAAAATGGTACCTTGCATCAACGCTAAACCGTACAGCTACTCGGAGTTGTTGATGACTCTACCTGATTTTGTATCCCAGTATTTCCCGGGCTGCGACATCAACAGTTGTCGGCAGGGTTTAACAGATGTTCTAGGGGTTGAATTGTATCGGGGAAATAGGTAAGGAAAACAGGATATTATTTTTCAATTATGCATATCGAATAATTTGTCAAATAATTCGTTCCTCAAGTCTACGTTAAATGATGGTGATGGTAAAAGGTGTTTTTTTTTCCTCTCTTTAGACAACAGATGAAAATGCTCATGGAGGCGGGTAAGTGCTCGTCTCTGAACGAAGATCTGCCACTGATTCAAGTGAGGAGTATAATGAATTACATGCCCCAGTTGAAGTACATTGTCAATAATCGAAACGTCGCGATGTCGACGCCGGCCCACTCGTCCGAGGAGCACCCTGCCAAAAAGCGTCAGCGCACCAGCTAGGATTGGCTAGAGCCTTACTGGCCCACATACGATTATTATCATTCAGCATTTTAAGTCCGAAAAATATGCGAGGGATCAACGGCGCGAAGAGCTCGAGTGTGCTTGAAAGAAAAAAAGAAGAAAACAAGATCCTTGTCTTGCTCACTGTCGGCACGAGAACGCACGAATTCCTCGCCCGGGACAATTATGGATCCGGTGGAGAAAGCTGATTGGAGGACAGAAGGAAAGAGGGAAATGACAAAAGAAACTTTCGTGTACGGTGCAAAGCCTCAAACACTTCCGGAGTCTCTCATCTGCTATACGACGTGAAATTAGAAAATAAAGAAAGGCGCGTTTTACATCCGTGACGCGTGCTCTCTTATTTTCTTTTTATTTTCTCAATCAGTTCTTTTCAAGAGGTATATATGTAAATATTGTCTTCAGGAGTGGGAGGAGATTAAAAAAAAGGAAAAGAGGAGAAGGAAAGAAATACGATAAGAAATCAGAGGTGCGCACGGGCGCCTTTAGATTTGGCATAATTCACGATCGAGATACAATTAAAATTGGCCTATTCGTTCGTGCGGGATTCAAGTTACCAGATCATTTGACACTTCCCAGTCGCCTTTGAAATTCTCTTGGCGCACCTCTATACACTTCTCAATGCATTCGTTTGTCTCTTGGCGATTTCTTCTTTTTTTTAAATGTCATGTTAATATTCTCGTGAGACGTGGCAGGTGCATGGAGTTTTTTTTTTTTAAGATTCGGGAAAGATAGAGACTCGGGCATTCTTGTTAACGTATGACCGGGTCGTTCAATTTACGTGGACCACGCACAGAGGCAAATTGATCGTTACGAGATACAAATTTTCATGATTCGAGTCCTTTTGCATATCCGAACTGCGTTAGGGTTTTAAATGATTGGAGATAATGCCAGTTCAAGTTCCTAGATAATATTCTAATAAAAGAGATGGGATTAATAGAGATCCCTGTTACGGCTGAGTAATAATAATAATAATAATAAGTGCTTGAAAAACACCGAAGGTAATTCGGAATTACTCTTTTGGATTGGGAGTTTTAAAAAAAAAAAAACAGATTCAGTGCAAATAGAACGTTAACTTCTTGTTTTACGATTATGGCAATGGGAGAGCTAGAGGAAGGGAACGTGATCCAGGCGCGAGAACTGAATAAAAAAATACCTTGTCTTTTCTTCTCTAAGTTTTTTTTCCATCTCTTTCTTTTTTTTTTTTTCGCAAATATCGACAGTAATGAAACCATTCCAACGATAGTAGCGTATTTACTGGAAAAGAAGAGCGACGCTTTACGAGTGACCTTTCCATAAAAATTATTCGGATAGTTTGGAAGAGTTTGTTCAAAAAGAAAAAAATAATTTGGTGTTGATTATCCGAAAAGCGTGGAATAGATATTGAAGAAAGGTGGAAACAGAATGTAAAGGTAACTACAGCAAGTGAGTGAAAGAGAGAGGAGGGGAGAGGGGTGATAATACAAAAGTGTGGGTCGTAGGGCATTTTTCATAATTTTTTTTTAATTTCGCAAAATCAAGGCATTTTGCAGCTATTAGGTAATATGCAATGTTTACGCTTACTAAAGCAGCGTCTAGGGTGAGAAGTCATTGCAGTTAATTCCTTTCAGCCTAGGGAGATGATTGATTTGCGATAATTTTTAAGTCATTTTATCGCGTACAGACACACAAGAATTTAAAACGGTCTTTATTTATCGTACAAGAGTGCAAAGATATCGCCAATATTATTAATCTTCTAATACAGATTGAAATATTGTTATTTATAATTTTTGAAACTGTTGGAAGATTATCTTGTTTCTCTAATCTAGTTAAACGGTACGATAAGTAAGTTTGGTTATCGTTATTTCCCTTTTGTTTGTGCGTTACATAAATTTGTATAACGAAAAGTCATTGACAACGCGAGAACTTGTAAGACGATAAAGCAACAGCTGTTTACGGAGACTGAAACAAGAAAAATCATCCAACACCGTTGCAGCAACATAGAATACAGTTAGTCGATTGTTTGTAAATGTTGTTATTTATTAAATAGAACTTATCCGCGAATTCGTATTAAATTGCACAATTACTATTTGAAACTTGGTGATGAACAAACAGCGTGAATTTGCGAAAACAAACAAATTTACCTATTACTTAAGGAGATACGGTCGGTAATGAAGATCGAGAGGAATTTAGAACACGGGGAATCCCCGGAATTCCTGTTAATTTTAAAATAATGAAAATCGTCATTTATGTTACGTTTATTGGTTTGATTGGCCACGGAACGTCAGTGAATTGGATCACGAATGCAAAATTAAAAAATTCATTCATTCGTTAGAACAATTAAAATAATTAAAACGTATGCTTAACTCACGTATAAGTTTTATTTTTTTTTATTCATTGAATTTCTGTTCACGTCACGAAAAGCGCAGGACGCCCGAGCCTCGACCGTTTTATCTCTAAAGTGAATCGATAAAGGTTCTTATATTCTCTTTTCTTTTTTTTCTTTATTCACTTCATTCTCATCGATCATCGCGTTAACAGAGCGTCGACACTGGGAGTCTTTGAGGAAAAGAAGAAAAATAAAAGGGAACATACAACAAGGCCTTTCTTCTTCTTCAATGTACTTCACGCAAGAACAAGAATTAATGCAAAAAAGCGAAAGAATATCCCATGCGTACAAAGAAGATTAAAAAGATAAAGCAAACACAGTTTATAATTCAAGATGCGTCCGTACCAATACGAGACTTAAAAAATTCTTAATGGTGAAAAAAAAATGAAAGAAAAAATAGAATGCGGTCTTTCGTTTTGAGCCTGCAGTATACTGTATACGAGTACAAAAGTTACTTTAACGTGGATTCAAGTGAGGCACAAGATATTAATTACACGTGGATGTAACATTACAAAAAAAAAAAGATCTCAACGTTCCTTTTTAAGGAATGGGGTTAATTAACGATCACAATAACGACTGCGAATACGAAGAGAATGGCGCATAACTGTGACAATGAGATGAAATGAAAGGAAAAAGAGAAAGGAAAAGGAAACAACAGAGGTTATAAAACTTTTAACGTTCGTGTCTAAAAAGGAACAAGCTTGGATTTATACTATTTGACTGATACAATTTTTTGATGCTCGCTAAGGACACTGTATAAAAGAAACTCTAGTATATAAAAAAATATATATATGCTGGAAGGATGTATATAAAGAGAATATAATATTGAATTCGCGCTCCTCGGCTACGTGAATTTTATATACGAAAAAGAAAAGAAATTGAAAAAATGGCTTAGGTAACCCTGTTACGGTGAAAATGGTATATTTTATTATTTATAAATTGTATTTAGTCGAACTGTGACTCGAAAGATTCTATTGCCATGGAAAAGACTACACGAAGGACTGGCGTCTCTGGCTTCGTTAAGGCGTTTATCACTTATGCTGTGTACAATTGTTTTGTTTTTCTTTTTCACGCTGAAAAATCACGAGAAACGAAAAGCAAAAGTATTTAATAAGTAATAAAAGAAAGCATCTTCATTCGATATTTAGAAACAGCTATTTATATTGTTTATAACAGTCACCGTGCGAATCGTCATTGGTTAATTGAAGAAACGAATGACTAAAATGGTGTGAGGGGATGAATTAAAAAAAAAAGTATAAAAATTTCGTTAGTTATCGTTTCAGGATTCTCTTGAATTATTTTTTGTATGTACTTCAGGCACCGTTTTGTGTACCACTAAAACTTCATGAATGCCCTTGCATTATTTAATTCTTTATTGTAGGTAATACATATGTAACGAGAGAGAGAAAGAGAGAGATAGAGAGTGGACAGCAAGAGATATTTATAAAAAAAAAAGAAAGATGTACGGAAAAAAATGAGAAGAAAATGTGAGCGCTACCGTTCCGTGTGTGTATCTACTGATGAATCTCGAAAAAAAAAGAAAATGAAAAAGAAAAGGCGTACCGGGAGGCCCCAGTCCAAAAACCTAGAAATTATTTCTAAGTACTAGAATTTAGAGCATTTATTTGTTAAAACACTTGTTACGATAATACGTGTATTATAATTTATCATACTGTCATCTGTACATATAGCCTATAAGGATTAATTAGAAATAATAGATATTTCAAATAAATTCATGATATAACTGAAAACACGTTACCATTTTTCCATATTCGTCCGAGTTCCTAAAAGTGGGACCCTTCCTAAGTCCCTATTGTTCTTCCAGACGTAAACTGAAGTAGAATTCAGGAGAATCAATGTCTGTCTTGTCTAGAGGCAATGTTTGTAAAGAAAGTAAAAAGAATTAAATTTTACCAACCGACGTATTTGACGTTAATTCGAATATGATTCCCGGAAGAACGTCATCCGAGGAAGGGTTTCAGGGTCGAGCAAAATGCTTGCTACGCCATCTCGGCCGAGCGGTGACGGAGCCGTACGAAGTTTCAGTCGCGGTCGCCATTTTCTCTGGGAGTCATCGGTTCGCCGTGTTTCCTCTCAGCCAGCAGTGTTTTTTTGGGCGAAAGAGCCGCCGAAAATCTGGGCCATCATCGCGCGGCCGTACCCCAAATGGCTTGCCTGAACACCCTGAAACAGGAGATCAAAACCCTCGAGTCCGTCTTCCCCAAGAGCCATGAAAGGTTTCAGATAATGTCCGCGAGTGTGGACGAGCTCAGCTGCAGGTTCGTCGGTAAAAATGGGAAGAAGTATGAAATTCACGCCAATATCACAGTAAGTGTGCTAACCATCGCTTTGGCTTTAGACATTAAGAACTTATGGCATTGTCTACGTTGTGATTTACTGCTGACGCCGTTTCTGAGGCCCGTTCCTTAATCGTCTTCGACAGGACAAAGAAACAATAACACGAGTGTTGTTATTTCGAATTTGACAACGATTCTGATAAGCGATATGGATGTCTTTGCGTTCTTGTGTGGATTTCGTGATTTCTTAAGAAACATCCTGACACCTGGGGATGTTTCGCTTATGACTGTCCTTTGCTGCTTGAGTTAGGGGATGTAGATGAATCAATGCTAGGGCTAGAGGTCAATGCATGCTTTGAGATTGTGATCCTTGTTACAATATTTATCCACTTAATATTCATTTACAAGTATCCGAGACAGAGATCAGTATAGATGCTATTTTACTTTTTTTACTGTTTTACGTCCCTGTGCAATGTTTGTATTAGTTTCTTGCTTGGAGATGTTCATGTTATTGTTTGTTTGTAATTGTAAGGATCGTCTTGGTTTGGTACTCGAATAATACTGATCTTCAAAAGATTAATTCGATATCAAAGTAGACTTTGTTTTGTGTGTCTTTAACTATTGTGGTTATTTGCAGTATTTATAATTGAACTTATTTATACAATTGCTATAGGGTATCGACATTCTTATAATGAATCATTAAACTCATTTTAGAATATTAATGTTAGTAAGGTGATCCCATTGTCCTTTCTTGAAAGAATGCGTGGTCTGTGTAAAGCAATTAATATCTTCTCGTATAACATTTGCGGTTCGTTGTGTGTAAGAACATTAATCGTAGCTCCTCTGTCTATTTTTGCCTGAGGTGATACTTGAATTAATATTCTATGTGTGCTTTCTATTTGCATGTGTTCTTAATGTATATATTATTTATTAATAATAAAAATGTCAACTGATTATTGTTCTCATATATATTTTGTTTAGGTTTGACAATATAAAAAGCTCATCTGAGTGTATTTTACTAATTTAAAATATCCAATGTACCAGTTATTGATTCACCCCTTCATTAGCATGTAAGTTTACTAAGCCACTGTCATATTGTTGTATTTCATCAGTCATTTTATAAAATCATTGTCATTATAAATAATACACAATAAGAGTGCATGGGATTCCAATCAGCGTTCAGTTACTGAAACAATCAGATGTCCCCACTATCGGTACATTTAGTTTACAAAGCATAACTAGTTTCGCATTACCCGCATTATATTGTGTGCTGACAATTCAAGAAATCACACAAACAATCAATAGTTTTCACCAGACTACAAGGATAAAACAATACATAATTCAGTAAGATAAGAAAAATATTTATATTAAAAACAATATTCATTCAATCCTTACACAAGTAGATTGATCATTCGGTACATAAAAGAAAGTGACTTCCATCTGTTGAACTGAATTTTTTTAGGAAACCTACCCGTCAACTCCGCCAGTGTGGTTTGCGGAATCGGAGGAGACGAGTGTTACGAACGCAGTACAAATTCTGAGTAACACAACCGGTCGTGACAACCACGTGATAAATCAGGTGGGAATTCTGCTGAAAGAATTATGCCGACTACACTCCTTACCAGAACCACCGGACGTGGAGAGGCTCAGAACGGCGTTGGATCCTCTGCGTCTTGGAGGTGCGGCCGCAGCTGTTGCGCAAAGAATGGAAGCAGAGGACGTCGAAGACATCGACGACGACGAGGAAAGCGAAACTGAGGAGGACCTTCACCTGGATATGGACGAGGGCGAAGCGAATGCCAAGAGTAAGGTAAAGATGATCAATGATGCGGATCCTCATTCACATCCAGGACGTAAGTTAAATCGTCTACGAGAAGGATGCTCACGAATGGCTGCGTAAAACAGGGCGAGGAAATGGATCTGGAGCACCTTGCGACGCTCGAGAGGTTGAGACAAAATCAGAGACAGGACTATCTAAAGGGTTCAGTTTCCGGTAGCGTACAAGCCACTGACAGACTCATGAAGGAACTCCGCGACATATACCGAAGCGACAGCTTCAAGAAAGGTTCGTGATCATTAACGGATTTCCATTTAGTCATAGAAATTCTTGGAAGACACCTTAGAGAGGAGAGGAGTAATTATATTGGAATCCTGGAGTTGGACAATTTTCACAGGAATGTATAGCATAGAGTTGGTGAACGACAGCCTTTACGAATGGAACATAAGGCTAATGTGCGTGGATCCGGACTCGCCGTTACACAACGACCTCGTCCTCCTCAAGGAGAAAGAGGGCAAAGACAGTATTCTTCTAAATATGCTCTTCAAGGTTGGTTCACACTTTTCAAAGACTTTGACTCTTTCGTGCTTAAAACTTTCCTAGGATTTCTTTCAATTAGCAGTACCTTTTTGGATTGTTCTCTACAGGAGACGTATCCGTTCGAGCCACCGTTCGTCCGGGTGGTGCATCCGATAATTTCGGGCGGATACGTTCTAGTTGGGGGCGCCATTTGCATGGAGCTGCTAACAAAACAGGGCTGGAGCTCGGCGTACACGGTTGAAGCAGTTATAATGCAGATCTCTGCGACGCTGGTCAAGGGCAAGGCGCGTATACAATTCCAGGGAACAGCCGGCGGCGGAAAAGTCTGCACAGGACAAGGCCAATACAGTTTGGCGCGTGCACAACAGTCATTCAAGTCCCTCGTTCAAATACACGAGAAGAACGGTAGGCAGTTTCGTTACGGTATTTCTCTTTTGTTTCCACGTGGACTACCGTTATTAACCGTTACTTTTTCTTTTCTATAAAAATAAATTCTTCTAAGTTTCCATGAGGATATAATTAGTTAAACTTAATTTTGGGTCTTCGTATACGAGGATAGAAACGGTTTGAAACTGTTTGAACAATTCGTTGGAGAAAGTATACGCGTTTTTTCTTTCCCCATAAAATACCATTGTTAAATTTTTCTTGTACATTGTTTCAGGCTGGTTCACACCACCGAAGGAGGACGGCTAATAATTGTATAGTGTGGAAGAACGACAATATGACGCGTGCTTACAGCTGAGACTTTAATTCGGTGTGTGCCCAACAAATAATCGTTACGATTAATGATTTGATACACAAAACACTAAATAATTTAAGATACTGAATTAATCATATACATAATACCCTCGATCGCTAAACGAAAGGAAAAGGAAAAGGGGAAAAAGAAGGAAAATATAAAAACGATTAAAAATGGCTGCCGCGCGCGAACAGTGCAAAAAGTGTGTCTCGTTCTGTTCGTATGCGTATTATATTATAGGCTCTGATACTTCTATTCGTTAGAATTCGCCATTAATCGCGAACCTGATTTCGCAAGTCGTTCCAATGAGAATCGTTTTCAAGCGAGGAGTGTGAACCTACAACCAATGTGAACGCGTGTCCTCCCGTCGTTATAATTTCGCGAATGGTTGTATGTACGCCTGTACATAGAGTTGCTTGTGCGAATTTCACCGTGAAAATTTGCCAAAACTCGTCGCAAACAAAGCAGAATGAACTTTTTGTGGCGATAGTGCTTCCTTGGTTTTTTTCGTTCCTGCCATTTTTCTCGCTAACATCCCCTCCCTCCCCTTTCGTTCCCCCCCTGCTCTCCATACAGTCGGACGGATATGTTGGTTCATTTCTGAAATACCATAAGTACTGGACTCTTGCGTTTGCAAAATTTGTTTGATCTTTGAACTTCGTCTTCAATTTTTGTTCTTTTATTTGCACGACAATTATTTTGTCTCTGTGTATGTATATATATGTTCATGTTCACATAAGATGTACCACCTGAAGTTGCTTCATTCTATATTAGCAATTAAATGACCGAACTGAGTTCCGTTAGTTTGCGTCAATTTTGAATGAGTGTATATATATAAACATATTTTAAAAATTAATTTTTTTTCTCGACACCAATTCTCGTCACTGAAAACGCACGCGGTCTCGTCGATTCCATTCATTTAGACATTTTCATTTGATTATCTACCAACCTGTCAATTTTTCTGTAATCACTGTGCTGCAGTGCCGGCAATGTGGGTGCTAAACAGGGACGTAATCAGCGTTCAGCGCGTCGCGTGATCATGAATATTAAATATCCAATTCGATTGATTATAAACGGTTGCGAACGCACGACGTCACAGTAGTGCTCGAACGTTTACTGTAAAACAAATCAATATCCATCCACCGATGGTACTTTGCGCGCGTGCGAATATTCCAATTTATTTTTGCTACAAATATTTTGCAATTTTTAGATGCGAACGGCGGGACCTGCTTTTAGTTTTACCCTTTACACGTCAAGCCTGCGAGAAACTTTGGTCAGCGATACAAAACGTTCGAGCTCCACTTACTGGATACATTCCGTTCGTTAACCGTAATGCAATTTATCTATTTGCTTCAGTCGTTTTGCAATAGATGGTAAATGAGAGAGAGAGAGAGAGAGAGAGCGAGAGCGCGTGTGCGTGAGTGTGTGTGTGAGAGAGAGAGAGAGAGAGACACTCCCCTCGCAATTTTCTTAAAGAAACAATCGTTCTCCGTCAGTTCACGATTAACCGGCTGTTTTTTTTTTACGTATTTTCAGGTACGAAAACAGTAGAGAGAACGTTTTTTCAATGATGGATATTTGCGAATACGAAAGAATTACCAAGCTTGAAGTAGGTATCCTACGGACATATTTGTGGCAAAACTAATAACGATTAAAAAGAAATAAAATGATATCCTTAAGTTTCCAACGACTGTTTGTAAGTTAAATATGTGCGCAATCTGGTGAGTTGAGTAATTGATGTGATTGTAAATTCCTTGTTTATAGCGTGGGACACGATTAAGACGGGAGACGGGACCGATCGAACATTCTTGAGCTGAGGCTTAAAACTTTATTGACGAAGAGGGGCGCTTCCACGCGCCTTAAGGATCGTTGTAAAAAAAAAGATGTCGTACGCCCTTCTTCCTCATGCAGTTTAGAATGAAACCACCCCCCATAAATTAAAAAAAAAAAAAGGAGAAAAACGATAGATTCTTCTATGTTTCTCGCGTCTTGTCTTTGTATCTGCTGGTATATTTTTTATACATTTTTTTTTCTCTTATTTTTTCCTCATCTTTAATCTCGTCGGAATGTCGTTTTTGTTTTTTTTTTGATCTCGTCATCGGTCGTTCCCGTCCTCGACTCGTCGTTCGTCCCAGACAAGCCCACCCTTTGGACTCTAGATGTAGGCCTCTTATGCCGTGTTAAGTATACGATACGAAATTTAATTCTTGAATTTGATTTCGAGTGCAACGCGAATTGCGTCGAAGACACGAAGAGTCTGTCACGTGACCTTAATCAGTGCGCATGCGTTAAGAGAGACAGAGGAAACGAGAGGAACGACGTAAAAGTTTATACACGAAAGCACTTTGGGATTATGAAAATATTTTTTTTTGCATCTCAAAATCCACTCAATGCCTTTCCGATCGATCGTGTCTTTCTTAATGATCATTGCGACAAGGTGTACACTACGTCTCTTCGTTCCTCTGCTCGCGATTCTAGCCTGTCACCTGTCTCAACCTGTTTCCTATTCACCTATCCATTCATTCGGATTAACACTTAACCTAACTTCTATCTACTTATATATTTACCTGTGCATCATCCCTTAGTCGGTCGTACATGTATACTTTAACCTAACCTAACCACAAATCACTAGACAGTATCACCATCTCATCATCGATCTATAAGCTTAGGATTATCCCCGCGGACTTACACCTATCCCAATGTATACTACCATTTATTGATTTGAAGTTAAAAAAAAAAGAAATTTTTCTAGTATAACATTATATTTTCTCTCTCAAACCAGAATTTTCGTATTAGTTTATGTTAATTATTATTTAGGAGAACGCTATGAAAATAAAGATTTTAATAAATAAATAGTAAAAAAAGAAAACGAAAAAAAAAACCAATTATATTAATATTGTGTGTATTCAGTTGGCGCATACTTGCTTCACCTGAGAATCTTCGCTAAGGCTGTTTTCTTCTGATCAACGGAAGTCACGGATCCCGGTACGGAAATACGATCTGGAAATAATGACACGGAGGAAGCATCTCGGCATTGACCCTCCTTCGCAAGAAATAGATTGTGCGAAATCGTAAGGAGCTTCTCTTGCACAAGCTGTCCGAACGACGCCATCCACTTTAACGGGGCTTTGCCCGTCCTGAATCATTCATAAATTGTGCATCAGGGCGATTATGGCTGACACGCGTAGTCCTCCACTTCATTCCCATCCCTTAACGCTACGGGGTGCCAACGAGAGACTGCTCCCTAGTGGATGAGACGGCTCAAAAGAAAATTATGCCTTCCATTCTTTTCCTCCATCTACGACATTGGCCGAGGATAAAATTCAAAATTATCACCTGCACAGGGGGACTAAGCCAATTTTTTTAAAAGGGAAGGAATAACAGGATAATATTTTTTTTTACCTATCGTCTCTATGATACCATCGGTATATGCATATTCTATAAATACCTTTCATCATTAATCCATATGATTTTACAGTGACAGGAGACAAACACTGATTGCCTTCGATCAATCCATTTTAATGGCCTCCACTGGAATATGGAAATAAATGAAAGTCAATTTACCAAGTGTTCGTTAGCGGCACGCATAACTTCATCACTAGTGAAACCAATGCAGGATCCTATTGTGCGCATCGTTCATATAACTAAGTTAATGCGTTTCCCATATTGCTACTCTGCCTGCTTGTGTATTTCCCACGGGAACGACCTAATGTACTATATTCATGTAGAGATAACGTGTACCTAAGCACGCCCTGGTCAGCATATATGATTCGCATTTGATACATCTAATAGACGAAGCAAGTTCTGTTGGTACTATAAATACATATTATACGTATCTATAGGGTTGGTATAGGGGTACCTATCTGGTGACATAGGTTAGCTACCATTGAAACGAGAAATTCCCATTGCGAAACCATTAATTTACTCATTATCGCCGTTTCTCTAATTAACCGTTACACCCGGTGCAGTCACAATTCTCTAAGACGATTCTAATCAGCTTGCGTTATGTCACCTGTGATACTATACGAGTCCATGAGAAGTTGAATCGCCAGGATCCCAAATCAGCTCAGTACCAAATGTGTATCAAGATTTTTGTAAGTTTTTTTATCGTTTTTCTTTTAGGCGAATATCGGACGTACGGGACATCGACTGTGGCGCCTCTAGCGGTAAAACTCGGCAGAGCAAATCAATTCTAGACACACGGTGACCCGACGAATATGGCTACTTGTAAAGTTTTACGCGGATCCTTTGCTACTTTTAGCATGACTGTCGACTATAGAATTCAAATTTTTAAGGTTACCTAACCTTCCTTCCTGTCCACAATAGAAAGCTTTTACGATTCGCCTTGAGCCCCACGGGGATCTTTATGGCTGGCAATTCTGAATCAACGATACGTCTCCGTCGTGTCACGTGGATTTTGATTGTTTGCTCAACCCTTCGCCCCAAGGGGCTGTATTGTTTGGACGAGACAGGATTGCGGATTTATATTTTCGCAATAAAGAAAAAGAGAAAAGAAAATTGTTCGCTCTTCTGAGTTTCGGTTCGGAGTCGATCTGGTTCTTTGGCAAAATTAGTTTCTCATTGGGTTTAGTCGTCTCGCGAATTATTCATGAAAAATTAACAGATTCATCATCCTTTCAGTCGCCACGTGTATATATATATAGTTATTTAACGCTAGAGGGGTGGGATTTCAGAAAGCTTTTTTTTATCCATTTTCATCATACTTATCAGTCTGTTTATACTCTCGGGAATTTACCTTCCTGCTGAATGACTCTTCAGAATTTTGTTGTGCCATTAAAAAATCAGAGCCAGTAGTCAACTATAAAAAATGCAGTTGGTAAAAGTCAGACAACTATTGTACGAGTGCCATTTCACTTCAACTCTTAACTTACCCCTCGCGTCTGGTCGTGCAGAATTTTTAAACCGAAGTGTCACAAAAATACAAATAAAATTCGCTTAAAATTCTATCGACGACTAAAAACCAAAAGCAATGGTAATCAAATATTTGAAGTCTTTATATTTCATTGGCACGGTATATCATAAAATTGAATTACCGATATCAATATTTTTACTTTTCAGTTTCTGACTGTCCGGATACTCAATGTTTATCGCTACTCTATGTACAGCACTCGTCTAGTTATCGTACAGATTTCATGATAACATGTTACTGTTCGTATCGGGCTCTATATCGATTTGTCGAAATGGCACGATTTGTCCGTTACAATTTCATATACACGGATCTTTTGTAGTCTCAAATTGTTACGACCCTTAAGGATTGAAAGTACCCCTAATTTCGATAGAAGTCGAGTACTATAGCTACACGCAAGGCAGTCACTGTCCATTTTGGTTTAGCGACACGAATACAGCCGGGTATCTTGAATTACTCTCGTTTCCCTTGGATTTATCGAAGTGCTGGATTTGGCTTTATCGACGGGATCGTAAAGAGGTAAGTAGGTAACAGGCAAGATATATACAAAGGTATATACTGTGTATATATATATCGGCAAGGTGGTGCCGCCAGTTACGTGTTCCGATACTCGAATCCTCTGGGATTACAATTATCGATACGATTAATCCATCTTAAAGGACTTGGAGGTCCGGCATTATAAGATGCCGTTTTAATTTCTTTTTAATGGAAATTCATCTTTTTGTATATTCACCTATATTTTGTTTTATATGAATTTTTATGCTTTTACATAATCACACACGAGGTACTTTCGATGCTAGTTTAACAACTGTGACCAATTACTGAATTGGTCCATTTTACTTTTACCGTGCTGTAACTTCTCTGAATGTGAGTTTATTGGTAATAAATGCGAAAACCGCAAACGTGAAGGGAATATAGAATATACAGGGTGTCCTAAATTTCATGCACTTTCAGGGTATAGCCGTGTTCGGTAGACGTCAAATTACTCGTAACAGGGTTTTTTTGGATCGAGCGATCATATTTTCTCAGTTTAATTGAAATTCGACAATTTTCCTTTGGTCGAGAATTAAATGGATTTTTGATGTATACTTAATTTCCTTCATTATTTCAAATTTTCTATTTATCATTGGTGATTATTATACGTCATTATTGACACTGTATGTATCATTGTTCTGATTTGTATTGAAAATTTATATATTTTTAACGTTATGTGACAGTTCGATACTATACCTGATTGGTGGAATAATATGTATTTTAAAATGATGCAATTCTTTTTTTCAGCTTTTTTTCTTTTTATACGAGCTTTTTTCTTACCTTGTACCGTGCAAAGGGACTTATACGATATACGATCCTCCCAATATATCATATTTCATATAAATGCATACTGGAGAAATATGAAATATCAATTAGACAGGTTTGAAATATTTGATTAATCAAAATCCAGTAAAAGATAATCTAATCAATGTAGATTGATTATTTAATTAAATATGTTATTTTTTTTTTGTATACGTTCTATATTATACTAGGTCGTGAATAATTAAAAGCGAATCAGTATAAGGGTCTTTTATTGTAGAATCGAACGAACAATATAAAATTTTACATTTTGTGTAATACATTGAAAAGTAATAGGACTGTAGTGTGATTCTAAAAGCCTGGACGGAGCTGCTACCAGTATCTTTAGTACTTTCGAGTATGGATCGTTCTGGTAAAATGGAAATGAGCCCAAAAACATTACTGAATTGTTTATTACTCGGCAAGCGGCGCCGAGCCAATTTCCTCGTAATACCATAGTTTCTCGAGTATTCAGACTTGTGCCATACTATTTATTATAATTTCGTAGGAGAGTGTGCTTATAAATTTGTTTCCCTGACCACGATAAAAACGTTAAATGCATCAATTTATTTTTTTTGTACGAAAAAAAAAAAAAAAATTGGTAAGCCTACCTAATCGTCCAAAAAATATTTTCGGTCGCATCCGCTTTCTTTGATTTCGTATAGATATATTTTTTAGCACTTTTTTGGATTTCGATAATTTTGCGATCGCTTTGTCATTAGAAACCGTATGATTATGGATTAATTGAAATTTTATGAGTTAGACACTGTCTCTGCCTTTTTGATTTTTGAATTGTCACTTGACGTCTCCTTTTCGTTCGTTCCCATTTTCTATTTCTTCTGGTTTTGTCTCAGTTTGTACACGATACACTGTTATGCCATTGTCTCCCTGGAATTGCTTATTTCTTGCACGGTTGAGTCAGTTAGCTGTCATGGCGGCTGAGCTAGTAGCTAACCTCCTGCTCTGTGACTTCCTGTCAGGTGATCGAAAACCAATTCAAGGTTAGTGTCTGACTTAAGTCTGACAACTGCATCTCCATCCCCTATAAACCTGTAAGACAACCTCCTTTGAGTTCAGCTTTACATACAATAAATGGGCGAGGTGAAAGAATAATAAAAAATGTAGAGTGGATGAAAGTGATAAAAAGACAAATAGTACAAAAATTCAAAAATCTTTTGTCATTCATACAAAAAGTCATCGTTTTGGCTCGACCAATTGAGGGGACTTTTGAATTAAGGGATGATGGTTTTACGAATATTTTTTTAACTAGTTAACTGGTAATGACGCATATATGCACAGAAAATTTTTGTGCAAAAACTAATAATGACGCATATGTGTGTATATTTGATATTTTGACAAATTTTAATGAATTTTGATGAAACTTGGCATGGCTGAGTTTTTTGGGTCGCTTATTACGAATCTGGACTGAAAATTGCGAAATTCAAAATTACGTTCTCAAAATGGCATGCCGAATTCAAAAAGCCAGTCGATTCGGATAAAACTCGGTACTCGGTAGCTGTTCAAGGTCACCGATCACAAATCTGAACTCAAAATTGGAAAATTCACAATGGCGAGTTCGGACTCTGGTTCAGTGATCCAAAAAACTTATGGATGGGTTTTCATGTGAAATACGGAATTATCGGCTTCTACCAGTTATCCCACAAAACGTGGATTTCGGGTAAACCGGTTAACTGATTAAAACCACAAATGATCTTGCAGATGTGCCAGGTGCGAATGCGAAGATCGCGTGAAATACGTGAAGGAAGTTTGAAACGATGACAGAAGGAGACGAGGATGGTCCAAAATGAGTGAGGCTGTTATGGGATGGCTAAAGAGAGAAAGTGAACATAACCTACACCCCAGTGCGCAGTCTGTTTAATTAGTGAACAAATTAAATGCCAGGACAGCCACATCCGACATGGTTGCGCAATTAGAGGTATTATAAATTAATTATAAAGCCGAGGGGCCCGCTAGTTTTGTGGAATTCAATCTCGGAATTGTCTGGCGGTTCTCTGGCGTGGTCGCCAAATGGATGCCAAACAACTTACCCCTCGGAAACAAAGTCGAAATCCTTTTGCGAATGGTCGAGCTCGTTGCATTCGAATTCGCAGGCTCGGGGGAATTTACATTCCTGGTTATGCAGTTGATTGTACAGTAAGTGGGCTGCTGGTCATGGGCCACTTTTGTTACGTGTTAGGCAAATTAAATGGCTCGAGCGGTGAATAACAAAGTGATGAACGGAGAACAAGCTGCGGGGTTGTAATAGACACACGGAGTGCTTTTGGATCGTTTAGTAAATTTTATTTTACGTTTACATTTTTCATTTATCACTACTAATTGAGCTGTGTTCCGAAAATGATGTAAATCGCCACCAGCGTTTTCCCTTTCATCTCTGTTTCAGGATTTTCGGGTAGGTTGAATCTGTGGTAGTGACACTATCTCATCGACCCTTGCAAACTATTAATATGGCCGAAAGTTCGTCTGTTAGTTACGGTCTTACTGGTCCATTTGCAGCTTCATCATCAGGAATTAGAAATTTGATCGTGAGTTTTGGGCCCCGAAGAGAGATACGATTTTGAAGATGATTAATTTTTTTTAATTTCTTCTTAATAAATTAGCAGCCTTGGCAACCGTAGTAGTCTCGGCTTTCCTGATAGCCTTATTTTTATTTTTTATATATTAAATATTAATTAACATAATTTCAATACGATAAAGCAATTAAGTTTTTTTCAATAAGTTTCCTCGCACTTTAATCAAAAAACTTTAAGTACAATCGAGTTAAGTGAATTTCGAATCACGTGGAATTTGCCTAATTACTACTGTATTTCACGAAATTATGTAAAATCATATTTAGGTATAATTAAACACTGTTTCATCTCTCGTCATAATTTCATTTTGAATATCAGAATTTTAGAAGCAGTCTCAAAATTCCCACGCCTTTTGTATTTTGTGGAAAAAACAAACGTACCAACTGAACAAAAATTAAGTAACAAGTTCATCGATTTACAAAATCCTTAATCCTCCCAGTTATCTGCGTTCTGGAAACATCTTCGCATCCACGTTAGCATTACGATTAAGCATACAGCCAACTTGACGGAGACTAAATTTTTTTTGATTACACATATCAAATCAAAATTCATAAAAAACCTTGCGCTAAAATTATCCCAAGTCATTCTTCACTGCCAATAATGAAATTCACTAAATTTGATGTTGACAGAATAAAAAAAAATTTTGATCCTTCACCATCAATCCATCAGGCATCCTTGTTAAATAGTAAAAAACACAATTTATATTATAATCACTATCCATATTCGTATCCACGAAAATTGTTCTGCCTCCACCGGCAACGATAAAAAAAAAAATAAATAATTTTACTGATAACATTTTTGTATCGTTGGAATCTTTTTTTTTTCTTATACAATTTTTCAGATTCTCCCGGATACCAATTCAGGATACAAAGCTATTAAGTGAAACAAACGACTGACAGCACCTGTTGATACTTCGCTAACCGCTATCCACTCAGTGTAACACGTATGAAACGTATGTACATACTTGCACGTGTTTACATCCTCTTTACCAATAGCTTCTACTATTCCGTATAGCTCATTTAACACGATCCCAGAAGTTCGATGGGTGGTTGGTATAGACTAGCCAAAAAACTACCCTTCGCGCCAGTTAATTCAACGCCCGTGAAATCAATGGGATAATATAATCAGTCAGGAATCGGATTGAGCATCATTGTTGACTGTTGAAGATAGCAATGCAAATTGCATGTTAATTCGTAAAACTGTTTCGATTATTCACGACAATCGAATTATACTGTTGAATCGATAGGTACCTATCCACCCAACTCCTCTTTACCAGCTTAATCAATGTAAAAATTTGATGCAAGTATTAAGCTCGAATTTTCGTGGGGAATTATTATTTTGAATATTCATCAGATATTTTGGCGAGGATATTCAGGAAGAAAATTTATTATTAACTGTAATAGCTGGGGGATATTATTTTTGATTTAATTTGAATAGTAGTCGTGTTTCATTGATTGGTCGTTTAGTTATATTTAATTAAGTTGTCAACTGTCAGTCATATTGATTTTTTTTTATTTATATCAATCCTGCTAACTTTTTGTACTTTTTTGAATTTTTCATCGAATACGACGTGTGTGATCGATTATTACGTGGGTTCTTGCCGAAAAGTTATATTCATGAAGTTACGCACGTGGCGAATCTATTGTTACTTTGACAGCTGTCAAAGACGCTGATAAATCAATCGATACCCGAGACACTGACTAGCTGAATATTGATGCGGGATAATTAATTTAGTCCTTTTTTGATGTTAAGCAGAGAGGAAAATATATTTTGCAATTTGATTTAATATCTGAAATAATATTTTTCAGAAAGTTTCAAGAGGCTGAGGGTATTCCGTGGTATTTTACTTAGCCAGCGAGAGGTGACGTCATTCGAGAAATTCCTTGAAAATAATTCAAATACTGTTTTGCCAAATTGGTCGTATTTGAAATCGTCGCACGAAGGACCGAAACATTATTTTCGTAACGGAGTATCAAAATAGGTAAATTTTTATCCAATCAGCATAATCTATATTTCAATTATTTCAGTTGTGCATTATGAATCGGTTTTAGAAAAATGTTCAATTTTAAGTTTTATACTGTCTTTATTTCATTAAATACGAAAGATTTCTGGAATTATATTTAATTCACAGAGATATTATTTTCATTCTTCGTTTTGGCCTCTGGCGCAGTGTACGGTTACATTTTTGCTTTCGCAATGCTTCGGGCAAACATATCTGAAAATTGTACACAGTCTAAAAGTAACCAGTAACGGCAAAATGTGTTGCACCGAATTTAAGGATCCGTCTGACGTGACACTAATAGACGCGGACAAAAGACACTCCGGGAAACCGAAGCCGCCGATTGATGGAAGGTGAGTGGGTACCAGTTTCAAAAGAAATTTTCTACCTGAACTTGCATAGTATTATGCGAAACCCATTTGAATATTCAGAAGCCTAATTTTTCTATTTTAGTTGACGATCAGGAAATAACAATTTTTGATCATATTTGGCCCGGTTTCAATACTACGAGGATTAATATTTCTGCATTTACTAAGATGGTCTAAGATGGAGAGAAGGAACCGTTGGACCCGTAAGTATACGGAGAAATGAAAATAAAGTTTATAAACTTTTTGAAAAAAAATCAAAAACCTGATTAAACTGTGCCTGCTGCTCGTTTTCTTGTTGAGATTTTTAATGAAGGTGGGTGTGTGAAGTGGGTGTTTTTAAAATAAATATAAAAAGGCCTCTACCTTAATGGCGTCTCTGGCTCGGGACTATGCCTGGAGTAACGAGAATTGGTATAAGCGATATAATGGTCTCAAAAATGATGAAGTATTTAATATAAAGTTAATGTAGCTTGCTTGCGAAAGACTGATCGATGCTGCCCATCAATCAGTTCCCCTTCTGCTTATACTTGAGAAGGTGCCACCTCCGTACACCTTCTTCATCCTCCATATCTTCAACCTTATTTCTCTTGTTATTTTTTCTTCCTTCTTTTCTCAAACGTGAAACGTAAAACCTTGACGAAATCATCATCCCATCGTGATTCACGTCTGTCAGTCAAGATGCTCTGGGGCAATAATTAATTTTGAGAAAGTGTCCGCGACACAACTTTTCGAGAGTTTTAAAAGTCAATTTTACAGAATTTTACGTGCTTATTTTTCAAATAAGATTTCATCAATTAATCATCCTTTGTTCGATTACTCTTAGGATTATTAAAAAGTAATAAGAAACTTGATTAAGCATCCAATAAATATATTTCGAGCTGATAATCAAATTTTATTTATTTTCAAACTACAAATTTCAGCTGTATCGCCCTTATCGTTTCTACGAGATATAATTTTTTTTTCAAAATTTCTAACAAAATATTTTTAACATCGTCAGAGGATCGCTTAACTACGTTAATCGTCTTTATCGGAAGTCAGCTACCCGATATCCAGTCAGTCTAAATTCGATAATTTCATATAAACTTGATCCTTCACCTGTTTTTTCTATCTTTTTCGAAATAAGTCCAAAACATATTTATTCATATAAAATAAAAACCAATTCGTCCATCTCTTTCCGGTATTCACAAAATATTCATTGTTCTGTGGTAACTTTGATGCATCCTTTCATTAATTAACAGTAGTTGCCCCACTAATATACAGGGCTTTCAAACGTCTGTATAATTCATCCTATGAAATTCCACTAGCGCAATATTTCCTCTCAAGAAACAGAGAGAACAATCAGATTGCTACGAATAGGAAACACACAGGCAGACGCCATTTCGAAGCCCCGAAGGCTTCAACAGTTCTCGTTCTCGTCTTGTCGGTGGGATACGTGTCCTTCCAGTTCGGTGATCAAGTCACTATGCAAATCAACGTTTCTGCTTTCGTCATATCAAACATCCAGCGGACTACAGTTGCGTACGAGAGGTTTGGCATCGATGGAAATCCGAATTCGAGACGGAAATGAATCTCGAACGTTAGTTCGAGTTTATACAGTAAATTTCATCGTTTTGACGCAAAGTTGTTTGCTAGAAAAAAAGCGAGTATAAAGTGACAAGATAACTTTAGGTAATCGATATAATACAAGTATAACGATATAACCAGTGAATATATCAGATCGACGTATTCGCGATTATATTTAAAATATATCATTGTATCGAGCAATATGACGAATATATTGGAATTTTGGAAATTTAAAAATATTATATAATTTTGATAATAATATATTTTTATATAATTTATATAATTTGAATAATATTCTTTGGAAGCTTTACAATTTTTTAATTTTTACTTATATCGCATATAAGATCGGCTTGTCTCCTAGTGTCGCGGCTATAAACTCAAGTTAGGGGATGAAAGAGCTTCGGGCGACAAGGGTAGCCAATGCGTCGACGTGATGCGCTGTAGCTTTTGCCGCGGTACTCGGCAGTCCTTTGGCGAACCCCGTAACAGGCAGCAAGTGGGATAGAAGCCCAGAGCTTTTCTATCGCGAGCTTTTAATCGTCCGCGCTTTTGAATTTGGAGTGAATATTTTTTAATTCTTTGCCCGTATGTTTTTCACAGCGCCCTTATCCGGGGGATTAATGCGTGACAATTTAAAGGGATGAAATTAGAATTTTTTTTTTCAACCTCCAACATTTCTTACGGATCCCGTAGAGTCAGTGACGGTTTGGCCGTCGCTGCGGACGGAAGCACGGCGCGAGGATTTATTTTGAAACGCGCTATATCTTATTTATATGGATTTAGACGGTGACTCGTCGTTCCAACGATTCATCCCTTATTAAATTGTACAGGGTGATTTTTTTCACACGCGACCATTTCGTGCAATAATTATAGATTGTGGATGCTGGAGCTTTTTTTTTTTGGCAAATTAATTGCGTTTCGTGCGGCCTTTTTTTTTATTGTGAAATTTTGAACGCTTTTTGGTATACAGTGCAAGGTGTCGATGTCTATATTTTTTTTGGAAATTTCTTACAGCACCGTGTCACTGCGAGACGCTCGTAGACACTTGCTGGAGAATTTCGGAAAATTTTATTCTTGTGATAACCGATAATCAATTTGAAAATGTTTAAACAGTCTTGTATAATCTTACGAATTGATATCTTTGAATGAATTTATAAAAAAAATGGAATATAAAATTCAATTACGTGTGCTTGAATGATATTAAACGTTAATTTGTAATTTGAACTCCAGTGATATTGGGTCACGCCCACTTACCTTATCATCAAAGTGACGGGAATGACATTTTATAATAGTGATTAAACATTCTCTCGTCATCTCTTGACACATTAATATTCCAATTAAGGACAATGCGTAATTAGAAATTGAATTTCTCTCTTTTCGCAAAATTATCAAGTAACAAACGTTTTCGCGATAACGCAAATTAAACGGTGCGAAGGGAAAGATATAATAAGAAAATATATAAAGAACATTATAAAAAAGTTAAAAAAATATTATATCAAAATTCGAATTTTCGAAAATAACCCATACGATACATTCTATCGTACAGTTTGTGCAGTTCAGTGTGATACGGAGCTTCATGGTGTGTCGTAAATAAAAAATTAAAGGACATCTCATTAAATTTCTTACAGCCCTTTGGAAAAATTTCGATTCGTGTAAAATAATACACGTAGAGGTATATTTGTTAAATCGTGCGGGTAGATTTTTTATTTTATAATTAAAATTTAATCGAGATCGTCAATTAAAAGAAAACCCTAAAATTCTTTACGCGAGATACAAACCAAAATTCAAATCGATCCTGCAGTGTGGGGGGCCCTTTATTTTTATTATTTTTACGGTGAAAGGTAATTTTTGATATCGTGTCCGTAACGACGGTAAAGATCCGAGTGGCCGTAGGGATAAAAACAAGCTTTCAAGGTTTACCTCCTTCGTCCCAGAAAAAAAAGAAGAAAAAGAAAGAATCTAGGAAAAACGTGGGAATGTAGCAACGAAAGGGAAAATCAGTGCTGGAAAAGTGTGAACGTTCACGTCGTGAACATGTTCGCGGTGAAAAGTTGGTGAACGTTGGATGCTCCAATTTGATTTAACGTAACTGGTGAATTGTGCGACCTACTGGCGACGTAGTTGTGACGTCACGTCGTACCGATAAGAGATAACAGACGTCAGCAAATTTACATCGTTTACCACAATACGTAGCGTGAGTAGCCATACAATATTATTTAAACGACATATATATATATACATATATATATATAAAAATAAATTAATTATATTTACCTTGAAAATATTTATTTATAATATCTGATAAATAAACGATTCGTGATAAATAATATAAATATATACAAAATATTCAAGTGTATAATATTTATATAATTTTTCTTTTTTTTTTGTAACATATTTAGTTTCTACTATACGGATGCTGAGTTCGTCTTCGCTTATCCTCGTTATCGTCTAATCGAGATATAGTATAGATAATGCAATATATACATATATACATGATACAGTTGATACAATTAATGATATATTTCAAGTATACCGTATATATCAAATATATCAGGTGTTTGCCCCGAGCTATTGAGAAACTTGAAATTTCGCACTACGTGCATAGATGCACCTATATTCCAATATCTATAGTATAATAGACTTTAGTATATCTATGTATAATTGCGTCACTCGTGAGCGGAATTTCTGCAGAGCACATCCGCGTTGGAATACGTAATGGTGCGTCTCGTTATTACGTTCCGTACCGGGAGAGATAGCCGTACGAAACCGCCACCCACCTAGCGAATCTATATCTATATATTTACGCATATATATTCAGGCAGATATATATTTCGCATATTCCCTACTTACGTGAAATATTCGCACCCGACCGATTCGCACGTAAGGCTCATCATTTAATTGCTAATACTATAGTTCCTGCCATCGCGGCTGGGTTATACGACCATACTATAGATGGCTGATCCAATTGATTAAGAATTAATTGGTCGAGCCCGATGCGATAAATTATTCCAGTTTAAATTTCGAAATACGATTTTCTTGATATATGAATTTTCGCAGGTAATTTTTTTTTCGCGGGTTAATTTTCTCACGTAATTTTTTTGCAAGTTAATTTTCGCTTAGGGCTCGAAAATGGGGTAGCGGCCATGGGGTCGAGGGTTAATTTTGGCAAATGGAGGAACTTCCAATTCCTCTTGTACACGGGGGGTCAGATATATAGACTCGGGTCTGTGGAGTTTTATTGAATTTTATCGAAGCTGGCTTAAAGAGCCGAGGGTGATACGGATAGGGGATGAGAAGTGCAGTCTGCATTTAACCTCCAGGGGTTGGTTTCTCCTTCCATCCCCTAACAGCCCTGGCGGTGGTATCTCGAGTACTGACAATGAGTTCTCCAACCCTTCTAAGCGGTCGACTACTCACGCCTCGTAAATTCTCATCCCTTATACACTTCGTGGGTATATATATTTTTCTTTATCTTTTTTTTTTGTATCTTAAATAACACGGCGGGATTCAATCTAATTCCTTGGAGATTCCGTTTACCCCTTGGCGGAGGTAATTCGTTAATTTACACCCTTGCACCCTTTTGCTGTGCCGGATAGGGGTTGTTATTGGGCTTGGTTGGGGGGATGCTGCTCAGATTCTCTTTTGAAGCTTGACGGTATTAGCCAACTTGCTTCCTGGTATCTTTTGTCAAATGAATATCGATTCGTGTTACTATGTTACTTAGTAAAATTTTAGTTTTTGCACGTTGGTACGTATCGGGGTTTTTCTTTTTTGTTCTCTCTCCTTGGCGAAGGTAATTCGTTAATTTACAGACTTGCACCCTTCTGCTGTGCCGGATAGGGGTTGTCATTGGGCTTAGTTGGGGGGATGCTTTTCACATTCGTATTAGCCAACTTGCATCCTGCAAGGTATTTTTTGTCAAATGAATATCAATTCGTGGCTATTGGACTTTTGCTACGTTAACTTGTAAAATTGTATTTTTTGCACGTTGGTACGTATCGGGGTTCTTCTTTTTTATTCTCTCTCCTTGGCGAAGGTAATTCGTTAATTTACAGACTTGCACCCTTCTGCTGTGCCGGATAGGGGTTGTCATTGGGCTTAGTTGGGGGGATGCTTTTCACATTCGTATTAGCCAACTTGCATCCTGCAAGGTATTTTTTGTCAAATGAATATCAATTCGTGGCTATTGGACTTATACTATGTTACTTAGTCAAATTTTAGTTTTTGCACGTTGGTACGTATCGGGGTTTTTCTTTTTTGTTCTCTCTCCTTGGCGAAGGTAATTCGTTAATTTACAGACTTGCACCCTTCTGCTGTGCCGGATAGGGGTTGTCATTGGGCTTGGTTGGGGGGATGCTTTTCACATTCGTATTAGCCAACTTGCATCCTGCAAGGTATTTTTTGTCAAATGAATATCAATTCGTGGCTATTGGACTTTTGCTGTGTTACTTAGTAAAATTTTAGTTCTCGCGCATTTTTGTTGTTTCTCCTTGGCGGAGGTAATTCGTTAATTTACAGCCTTGCACCCTTTTGCTATACCGGATAGGGGTTGTTATTGGGCTTGGTTGGGGGGATGCTGCTCAGATTCTCTTTCGAAGCTTGACGGTATTAGCCAACTTGCTTCCTGGTATCTTTTGTCAAATGAATATCAATTCGTGGCTATTGGACTTTTGCTGTGTTACTTAGTAAAATTTTAGTTCTCGCGCATTTTTGTTGTTTCTCCTTGGCGGAGGTAATTCGTTAATTTACAGCCTTGCACCCTTTTGCTATACCGGATAGGGGTTGTCATTGGGCTTGGTTGGGGGGATGCTTTTCACATTCGTATTAGCCAACTTGCATCCTTCCTGGTATCTTTTGTCAAATGAATATCAATTCGTGGCTATTGGACTTATACTATGTTACTTAGTCAAATTTTAGTTTTTGCACGTTGGTACGTATCGGGGTTCTTCTTTTTTATTCTCTCTCCTTGGCGAAGGTAATTCGTTAATTTACAGACTTGCACCCTTCTGCTGTGCCGGATAGGGGTTGTCATTGGGCTTAGTTGGGGGGATGCTTTTCACATTCGTATTAGCCAACTTGCATCCTTCCTGGTATCTTTTGTCAAATGAATATCAATTCGTGGCTATTGGACTTTTGCTGCGTTACTTAGTAAAATTTTAGTTCTCGCGCATTTTTGTTGTTTCTCCTTGGCGGAGGTAATTCCTTAATTTACAGCCTTGCACCCTTCTGCTGTGCCGGATAGGGGTTGTCATTGGGCTTAGTTGGGGGGATGCTTTTCACATTCGTATTAGCCAACTTGCATCCTGCAAGGTATTTTTTGTCAAATGAATATCAATTCGTGGCTATTTGACTTTTGCTACGTTAACTTGTAAAATTGTATTTCTCGCGTATTGGTTGTTCTTTTTCGACGTGACGTTGGTATTAATACGTTTCTATGTCGGCGTCCCGACGCAAGTTCATGTATTTGCTTGCAAGTTTGTATTCTGTTAATCTCGTTCTTAGGATGTAAATGTACATAAACTGAAACGAAACGAATAAATAGCGGGTAGGTGATTGCGTTAGATACAAGTAAATTTTGTTATTGAATAATTAAATTAGAATATGTAGAACTGAGGTAGTTATTAGATTATTCGTGAAGGGATGTGCTGGGAAGAATACATTTTTTTTAATTAATGCATTTCAATTACATTTGATTAATTACAAATTTTATTTTACATTGGTCGAACCTCTTTTTAAATTTTATTTCGGGTTGACATTGTATAGGACCTTTTTAATTACAGTTGCTTTCATTTTTTTATTATTCATTTATTCAAGTTTGTTGTATGTTTCATCCCTCTGGGTATGCTGTAATTAATATTGTATTGGGGCAGGTCAGTTGGGTTTAGTTTCGTGGGGGATGAAACTGTCTTGTGTCTACTGGATATCGGGTTAATCTTGTTCACGGGTACAGACGCTGATAAGATTGATAAGCCAAAAGCTGGAATGTGTTTGGTCTTCATCCCTTAAAGATAGAGGGTGCCATTAAATGATACGTTATAGGTTTCACGATACGAATTTACATTTATAATAAAAAATAAAATTTTTTTTTGTGCATTTATCAAAAATCAAAATCTCCACGATCAATATCCTGACAATCATTTTTCTTAAATTACAAAATTTTTTAGTCACCAAAAAAAGCTTATTGGTTCACTCCATATATTTTCCACGTATGAAGCTAATTACTGGTAAGCTCGTGATTCAACGGACACTGAAATGCAGAGAGGGGGTGGGAGTGGGTGGCCTTTGGCCAGTAATACAGGTTGAACATATGGGATTCGACAATCGGGATTAAAAGCGGTTTACCCGATTTCGCAATTCGGACGAATGGTATCACCTGTGGGGGGTGGCAGGGGGGTCGAGGGGGTGCCAGGAAGTCCGATCTTGCGAGCCGAAGCGGATGAGGGCAGCGTAACTAATGAGAGTAATTAGAGATAATCGATATCGCACTGAAGTGGGCTAGTGGTGGTAGTTCCGTATGAGTATCCTAGGGGGAGGTTGATAGGGGTGAAACGAGAATAACCTGATAGTGGAAAGCTCTGATAAAAAATAACAACTATCAAGCGTACGAGAGAGCTTAACGGGGATAATTATTTGATGTAGTCGGATTATCCAAGATCGATTACAAATTAGAGTTAAGTACTTGATAGGCCGGGAGGG